AAGAGCTTGGTGTCAATTAGTTCCTGAGTGGTGTGGAGTGTGCGTGGGTATGTGGTGCTGCCTGCGTGCCTGTGTGCCATTTGTGACAGTGTTTTCTGCTCAGATCCAACCAAATGCCTCAAAACTCATTGGACGGCGCTTTGCCTTGCAGCAGGGCAATGACCCCAAACATACTGCTAAAGCAAGTATCGAGTTTTTCAGGGCCCAAAAGTGGAATGTGGTTGACCGGCCAAGTCAGTCACCCAACCTGAATCCAATTGAGCCTGCATTTCACTTACTGAAGACAAGACTGAAGGCAAAAAGCGTCTGAAACAAGCAGGAACTGAAAATGGTTGCTTTACAGGCCTGGCAGAGCATCACCAGGGAAGATACCCAGCCTCTGCTGATGTCTGTGGGTTGCAGACTTCAGGCAGTCATCAAATGCAAAGGACTTGCAACCAAGTACTAGACATGACAATTTTATTTAAGACTATGTTTATGTGTCCAATTACTTTCAGTCCTCTGAAATGGGAGGACTACTGTATGTATACAAAGGGCTGTGGTTCCTATATGGTTCACCCAAAATAGACATAAAAACCCTCGAATTAAAGCTGATATTCTGCAATTTAACCTCATAGTCATTATTTCATTTCAAATCCAGTGTACTGGAGTACAAAGCCAAAACAACAAAAATTATGCACAGTCCAAATACTTACGGACTGCACTGTAATGTGTATATTTTTTACAAAACATTTGTCTTCTTCCCTACGATAGACTTTTCCCATCCCTCACACCCTGTGCTCCTGGGATAGCCTCTGTGGTGCCTACTTCATGGGGAGAATTACATTAAGATGATAAATACACATATATACTTCTAAATGGTATTGCACTACAGTCTCCTCAGCCTAGCTTAAGGTCTTAATTACATAACGGGTGTAATTACTTATTGTGTTCAAATTATTTTTTTAAAGTTATGGTATCTATTGAACATTTTGAGCGGGGCCAGATTTATGCAAATTGAAAAAGTAATATCTTGGTTGGAACAAAGATCAAAGCCTCTGGGATCTGAAATTGAGTGGCCGGCTTTAGATCTTTACAATGGATCTAACAATGTCAGTGCAGTGAATACTGGTCCTTAGATGGCTCGCTTATTGACTTTGCAAAAAAGATATCAACTGTTTGAAAGCCTCTGTAATTACTAGAAAGCATATCTACATCAGCTAATTGTCACAATGGGGATATTAAAAAAGCTAGTTATTTTTAGAAAATACTCATTCTTTATCTGCTTTGTGTTGCATGTGCTCTAATTTGAGCATTATTGATTTTCTAGTAGATTAATTGCAGTCATATGGATTATGTATAGTAAAATATTGAGGGAATGGCAATTGACTACTATGTATGATAGATTATAGTGGATTTTTATTGCATTCTACTTTTAAAAATCATATTGCTATTTTGCACTGAGCAAGAGGTTAGTGTAATGCAGGTCTCTTGAGTGAAAGGAGGCACTTGAAACATGAACAAAACTTTTTTTTGTAAGAAAGTCTCTGTTTAACCTTTTCTTATGAGCATAGAACAAATAGAAAATTAAATGAAGGGGGATTAAATATAGATAGATAATACTTTATTGATCCCGAAGGGAAATTGAGGTGAAATGTAGTGAGTGAGCTTCATCTAACTGATAATAGGTCTAACACAGTCCATTATACTTCACTATGTTTCAAGAGTACAGTAGTTTGAAAGAAATTTGTTTTTTAATGAAAACAATTCATGGAAATCTGACAAGTTCCCTGGTAATGCAGCACATATGTGTTGATTAACTGATATGAAAGCAATTCCCTGTTGTCATGCACCAAGTGTATGTTGACAGTTTATCAGCATGAGCTAAATTAGCAGTATCTTAAAATTGTCTGTGTCTGTTTAATCATATCAGGTCAAAAGGTTTGTAAGTCTTTAATAATTCAACAAATAAGGTGTCAAAAAGTAGGTAACCCTGGGCTTGATTTACTGTAAATTGAATCACTTCTGTAAAACTGTCCAGGCAGGTCTCTTGAATTTAAACAACCTCTTCTCCGGAGAACAGTCTATGAATTATTAATCACTTATGTGAAAAATTAAGATGTCGAAATGAAATGCAGTGCAGAACAATTCAGATAGTATGAGTAAAAAAAGCAGCAATTCCTTCTTTTAAAGGCAGTTATTGAATGCATTATTATTATTAAATGCAATGACTGAATTTATCTGGGTGTGCAGGTCCCCTTCCAGTGTGGTTCTGTGCTCATGCTGTCCTTGGGATAGAGATACTTTGCTCCTGATGGATCAAAACCCAGACCTGCAAAATAATAAAGAGCTCCACCAGCTCCGTCATCGTCAGGGGAGCAAGTATGTGAAAACTGAAAACTGAACTGTAGTAAGAAATTTACTGGGTGTCACATGTCAACTTTTATCATTTATAAATGGCTGTTACTGTCATCTCTCTGAACAACATCAGTGACCCCTCCCACCAGCTTCCGCCCTGTCTGAACTCCTTCCCTTGAGAAGCAGGAATGACATGTATCAGTTCTGCAGGAAGAGCACCAGTCCTGAGGCTGTTCGGTCTGCTAACTCAACAGTTATGAAAGTTTTTATTAGTAAATTTGCGGATTCTATCTTCACTGTAATGTAGCATCATATTCTATTTTGTATATGTGTGTATTTATGTTTTCCTTTCTCTTGTATCTGTCATTTTTGTTTCCGTATCTCTGTTATGTGAAGCACACAAAAAAACAAACAAACAACCCAAAGGGTTTGATTTGGACTTTGTAACGCATTAACTACAGTACATCTCTATCCTCAAGGGTTCTAAAGAAGTGAATCAGAGTTCAGATAAACACAGTGGCAGTGCAACAGGTTTTATTACAATGAATCACAGCATTACAACACAGTCAGAAAAACCGAAGTAAAAGTAAAGGTTATTTCTAGAAGATCAAAAGAAATACTTTATTTTTCCAGCAATGGCGGTACCGTGGTGGTCAGAATAGCTTCCTCTGAAAAGATGCCTTTTGTGCAGCACCCACAATGCTACTCCCCTCGAGATAGCCATCGCTGAAATAGTCAGGTCAGGTTCGAGCTCCAGCTGGCCCTGCAGTGTCCATGTTGGGGCCATTCAGATTCTACAAGTCTCATTGTCACTGTCCTTCAAAACTGACCTCTCTAGCATATAAGTGTGACCCCTGTGTTTCTCATCTCATTCCTGTATTAGTCTGCGGCCTGATACTCTGTTTGAGATACAGGAAAGTGCACCTTTACCCTCCCTAAGATCTCGATCTTATCTTGCTAATAAATAGCATTTTGCAATAAACAAAAACTGAGGAACTTAGCAGTGTTCACAAATGACATGAAGCCATTTGGCTGATCTAGGCTGTCTGGCTTTTAGTATTGAATTAATTTCAGGATCTCATCCAACTTTAGTAATTGAATCAAGGATATTCACTTCAGCAGCAGGTCTTTGTAGTTTATTGCAGACTTCTGTTTTTAGGAATAAAGGCGGTGTTAATTGTATAATCCAAGCCATTAACCTACACAATTATTTTTTATTGTTTTCATTAATTATATATTCTAAAACAGAATACACAAATGAATGTTTGTTTTACATTAACAGAAATATTAATACAGATTAAATTTGTACTACATTAAAATGTCAGGTGCTTTAGTATAATTGGAACTGTCTGAAAAGCAGTCAGATGTAGCAATATATATATATTAAAAATGCAAATTAAGACCAAGGCCAGAAAAGTAACATGAATACTAGAACTAATGAGTAATTATTTCTTCAATGAGCATTTCTTTAGCAAACTTACAGTCATTCAGTAGAATATATGCATGTTTGTTGGACTAGTAAGTAGAACATGTTACTTGTGGCCTGCAGGCACATTTTTCATGTTATGATTTTTATACCACTCTTTAAACCATTTAGTACTTTGCAATGTGAAATGCTATAATTATGATGATTACTACATCTGGAAAGTAATTTCCATGCCATCAGATATATCTTGTCATCAGCAGTGATTAAGTATATATTTGAAACGAGGCCTTGTTAAAAAAAATACTCTCAGCTTTATGCAACAATACAAAAAGATTTCTTTGCTATTTGTCTTTTCTCATTTTTAACTAGAATTTCAGGTAATTTTGGATGATAGCACAGGGTTTTTATAATGCAATTCCACTTTAATATTAAATTCCATTGTCCTGAGATTAGGTTTATTTTATTTTATTTTTTTAAAAAGGTATTGCAATTAATATGCCTGTTTATGAGATCATTTAGAAATTTAGATCAGTTTAGAAGACTTCCATCATGGTAATGAAAATAGTCCAGATATACTGAAATATAAGTAGTATTATCAATTCTAGAGCCAGAAATATAAAACAATATTTTATTTTTCATTAGAGATAACATCACAGTGTGTCACTGTCTGAGTCAATAAAAGTGTAGGTAGATTACTGTATGTCTTAAAAAACATGAGCATTTTAAAAAATCAGTTGCAGTTAGTGTCCACCCTAAGGTCCTATGGCCATGTGTAGACATAGTCCATTACACCCACTGGACATAATTATTCCTCTGTTCTAGTTGTAGATATTTATATTTTTTCATGGTACTGTATTTTTACTCAGATACCAACTTTTATCACATGCTCTGCGTCACATGGAATGTGCCTTTACTGATAAGAGTTCTGGTGTGATTAAAATATGAAATTATTGTATTGGTAGCACCATCTCAGAAATAATTAAATCCCAAAAAACTCTGTAGGTAAATTCATTAAATTATGTCAAAATGAATAGTCTGGAGTATACTTAAGCTACTTGAATATAGATTACGAGCTGTATTTTGAAGTAAAATGATATACGTTCCTTACTCATTCTCCTGGAATGTGTTTATACTGTATCTTAGTGGCTTTCAGCTAAGAGAAGTAGGAGTTTAGAGAGGTGTGGATGGAATGTGAAGTTATTTATGAATTTTAAATTATGTTAATTTTATTTTATAGCAGATGGCCTTCCACTGACAAAGACGACAGAGGAGGTGGATGATGACCTTGAGGATGAGTTCATTCGGGAATATAACTTACTGAAGCTGAGCTCAGAGCAGAACTCTGTGCAAATTTTCAGTAAAGATACTGGAGGTATTGAAGTGACTCCATAAAGATTTGTTTCTGAAGATTATTTGTTTCTGTCCGTTTTCCCCCACTTACAGTATACCATGTGTGTTTAATACCATCTGGCCATTTAAGCTTTGTTACTTTATTTTGATAAATACATTCAGAATCAGATTGATAACTAATTGATAACTTCCTAACTTCCTGTTAGGTAAGCACTGTGTTTCAGTGTTTCTTGATTTTCACTCGGAAATGATATACTGCTTTTGATCGGTTTTAAAATATTTAAACTGCAGGCTTTGCACTCTAAAGGGACTTTCCCTGTTAAAAAGAAAAAAAATGCTTTCATTATATAACACATTGTTAGCAGCATTTTTACTTGGAAAACAAAGACATTAATTGTGTTATGTTTTGTAACAATGCTTTAACAGCTGCTTTGCAAATTGTAGAATTGCCTGTTCTAGGATCTTCAGAGCTTCTAATTTGATGGTATTCAATGTAGGCAGGTTATTTCTCCATCTGCTAATTATTCTTGGCATCATCTTACTTTCCCCTTGGACTTGGAAAAACAATACACAATAAATACTGTAGGTTATTTTTTTCGGAAAGCCCTTCTTTTTATAATTTTTATAGTCTCTGTAGCATCCACAACATTTAAAAGTATTTTCTGGTAATTTATTGTGTAATTCTAAAACTGTGCTTGTGAACATTTGACCTATACTGTACTATTCATGGCTTTGCATGTTTTTCATTCATTTCCTATAAATTATTTTTTTCTGCACAGATGAAGAGCTGCCTCCAATTAAACATGGTGAACCAGTGACTGACAGGCGTAGTACCTTCCAGGCACATTTAGCTCCAGTTGTGACACTCAAACAGGTATACCTTTTAACGATGTACTCCTTATTAGTTGGCATGTCCGAAATGCACTGGGGCTGTTTGACACCAGCCTGGAATAGCTGAGAGAGCCTGGATCAATTTTCTACTGCAGAGGCTGAGCTATGTGTAATGAATGAACTGACTCCCTGCAGTTAATGTGACAGGTTTAATTGTGCCCACACACAGATGCGTTAGGTGTCAGTCAATATATCGCCATAGGCACTGCGGTACCCCAGACAGCAGTGTGTCACAGCGTTTTTATTTTTTCCAGAAATCTGATGTAGGACATTCATATAACTTATAACATATAACATCAGCTGACAGACAAATCGGTACAGTATTAAATTTTTATTAAACCATTAGCTCTTTCCTGCACTAATCATACTGTATGCTACTGTACTAGTGACAAACAATTTCACTCAATAAATGTTTACATTGTGAGACAGAATGTTGTTGCCATTTTGCTACCACAATTTCAAATGACTTACTGTCACAATACTGCATAACACTAATAGAATTATCTTTTAAATGATATGCAGTATACAGAATTATTAGTAATTAGAGTTTGATCATGAAACGTATACATAGTGGCTTTAAAATCATATCATATTAAAAAGCAAATAAACGCGTAAAAATAAAAAAAGTGGCCAGATTGAAATTGAAAGTTTTCAGTAGTGTTTTGAATGACTTTGTCTCATATTGTAAATTGTATTTTAGCCGATACAAATCTGTACTGCACTGTTAACTGGTTTCTGTTTAATGGCGTAATTAAATCCTGGAGATTGTTGATATTGTGGTCCAGTGATTGGTAAAACTGTTTTTCTTTACTCCCTTTATGGCAGGATTCTCACATTTACTAGCTCTTATACACTTCTTGTAAATGGCAAAAATGAGATAGTGGTTTAATTAATAACATTTTATTCGCAATAGTTATTCCCAAAAAAGACATTCCAGGGTGCAGACATTCACTTAATGTGAATGTAAACTTTAAACTTTTGTCAGTTTCTTTGCCATCTTACAAGCATTGTCTGAGTCTGATATGCACTTATATAGGTATGTAAATACTTATATTCATGAGTCATAAATTCTATTCAGCATGAGTATGGAAATAAAATAATGACTGGCATTGGCCATGTTTTTCACTTTTAGAAGTGCTGAAAGTCAGAATGTTATTCATTTATACATAGTCCTTCCTTTTTACATTTTATGATGATGACACTAGGAAAATCTAAAATTAAGCCTTGAGGTTTAGGAATGTTGAAAATATTAAAGTTTTTGATTGAATGACAAAGTTGAAATTCTTCATACAAACAGCACTATGTGCTATGTAATTTAGTTAAATTGAATGTAGGAATATATGCTGTAGTTTGGATGACAAATTTATAAAGGAATGGCCGTGTCCCATCTTCTTTCTTCATCTCCTTATAGAAAAATTGGTGTTTAATAAACAGGTTCACAGTACTGTTAATTTACTGTTTCGTATCACACACATCAGTAATAATCTGATTCCCCCTTATCTGTTGTGATTACTTCATGGTTTCCAATAATTATTAAATGCAGTGTGATATGAAAGGCTGAGTCGGTGTTCTGTATCTGGTTCTTATAATACAGTAAGTAGTGTTTGAATTAAGAACACATCAGATGTTTTCCCAAGACTGCTGGTATTGTGTTGTGAGAAACATAGCTCAATGAGTCCTGATTATACTTCTTCTTATGACTATCAGGTGGAGCAAAACACCTATCTAACAAAATATTAACATTGCAAAAGTCTCTCTCCAAGTAGGGTAAAAGATTCAAAGTCCTTTTTCCAGAAGAGTTTTTCGTCCTCAAACAAAACAACAGAATTTCCCAACTCAAGTTCTTTGCACACTTGAGTTCCACAGATCAAAGCAGAACCAAAATAACTGTGTTCCTTTCCTGTCCAATATCCCTCTTTCACCTTTTACCCTAGATCATTCAGTGACATCATTACTAAGATTTCTGGGAAATGTAGTTCTCCTCCAAGCCTCCACAAAGCAAAAATATACCTTTATGTAAACACTCCCACCAGTTACAGCACCTTAATATTAATATACGGTTGTTTTTCAGCAAATTATTTCATCTTAAATTATCAAGCTTCTTTTTTCTGAAATGTTTTTGGAAGCTCTTTGCAAAACATGGAGAAGTACAGAAATCATCCTTTTAAAAAATCCACTTTGTCTTTAACCTATAAAAATTGTAATCTAAATTTCTGTTAAAAGGAAGTTTTAATATTTTCTGCATTTAAGATAAAGGTTTATCAATATAATGTTCCTAAATATTTGCATTTTGGCTGTTGTTCTTGGTGTTGTACATTTTTATTATCCTACAGTTTCCGCTATGCTCTACAGATACTGTATGTTATAAGTTTTAGGGAACCTTCAACTATTTTCAAGTAATATTATACTTTTGACTGGCCTCAATACCATCTTTTATGTCAGATTGTTTGGTTTCATTTTTTTCCTTTTTAATTTAGAAAAAGGCAAATAGTATCATTGTATATGTTGGAGTAAATGTATATGTTTTGAGTGGTCACCTAATAGTCAATGCCCTCTGAAACAGTGAACCTACAGCAGGGTTAGTATTAACCTTATGAAGTGCTCACTGAGACCACGGCAAGCTTTCAGAAAGTCGATATTGCAGGTCAGACGGAAGACAGTCTGGCCAGCTCAAGCTCTGCCTCAGTGGTGCATGGCCAATTATGAGCAGCTGCATGGGGAATCCCAGTCACAGTTTGCTAACGGCACTTCAGACTCAAACAACTGATGTGTGGATTATAGGGCTCAACTTCTGCTCCCAACAATTGTCTTTACTGATTGAGCCACTGGGGACTTTTAATCAATTTTTTAACTAAGAGATTTAAGGATGCTTGCTTGTCATTGTTTGTTCTAGAGGCTGTCCCCACTGTGTTATATAAACCTATTACACAAATGCCATTGAGCAATTTGTAATTTTCCAGGATGTTGAAGGTAAGAAATTATTAGCTGAAAGCAAAGTAAGGCTTTGCAATATTCATTGTAACTGTTATTACATATACATCTTAGGCATTTGTAATATGTAATATGTTTTTTGCATCATTAGAAAGTAAGAGGTCTTAAATACACTGCTGTTATGTTCATAGAGTTTTGTCCGTTAAATGTTATACTATGCATGAACATCTTTTACATAATATAGGAGTTCCTCGTTTTCTAAAACAAAGTCTTAATATTAAGTTTGTTTAAAGCTTTTGGCTATAGGAGACACTTATTCTAATGTAATTTTGGTGTTGGTTTCGAAAGTACACTTATTCATGAACACATTTTTATTCATTTTAAATGAACAAATCAAGAACAAGTTAGGAAAAATAACAAAACCCCGACTACCCTCACCCCTGACAATGGTGGTAACCTTTTAAAATCACAGGCCAAAGGAACCCTGAGCCATAATTCAGGCTTTCGATAACAGCACCAAGGACTGGAGCAGCAAGAGCCACATAGAAATATCAAGAAAGGTCAGATCCAGCGGTGGCAGAGCTGGGAGTGCAGAGGCACCCAGAGCAGCACCAACATAATCGGGGGTCTATTATTCAGAGACACGGCTCCTTCAGTAGTCGCTCAAGACAGGGGTAGTTCCCAGAGACTGGAGAATTGCTACTATAATGCCCAACCGTAGCTTTAGTTCTAAAGTCATATATATATCTCATATATATAAAGTCATATATAGATTTAATCAATTTCCCTACGGGATCAATAAAGTCTTATTGATCTATCTATAATGCAGTATATAAAGATATGGGAGTTCAGGTGGGTAGCTGCGTCAGCATAAGTAGGCTGCAAAGGAACAAGTAAAAGGTTTATGTGAGCACCTGAAGAAGGCTCCATGGCCAAAACATTGTGTTTTTTTTTCTTCTTTTTTTCAGCATGGAATAAACCTATTACTTGTTCCTATAAAGATATGGGTCAGATTGTGCTGTCATGTCAGGTACCCTCACACAAAAGATCAATTTCCCAGTGTTCCTACCATGAGTAATAGTAGTAGTATGCAGTAAGTCATAGCTGGAACTGGTAGATAAATTGCTCACAGATCACAGGGATGGTTCTCCATTTAACTTATTAAAAACCTGCTGTGGCGGTATTGTAGATCCTCAGGTTCAGATCATGTGATAAGGTGGACATTGTTACCAGACAGACACAGAAAGCCTCCAAATCTTGCGGAGATGCAATTAACATCATTTGGAACATTATCATTATCAGATGTTGTGTTGATGCTGGTTTTTCTCTGTTTTTCCTTGGGTGTGAACACGAGTCTGAAAAAGCAACTATCTTATCCTGTGTGGTGAAATTGCAATAGGCAGCTGTAAAATACACCTCCTAAAATAGACATTAGAGCCTTCCATTACTTTTTATGCCATCAAACATTGTCTTTCCCCTTTGCAATACAGAACTGAGATTCATCAGAAAACACTACCCTTTTCTAGTTGTCATTCATGTTGACATTGACATTGATCCATGACGTTATTATTATCGGGGTTCCTGAACAGGTTTCTGATGTCCAGCTGTGTTAGTGGCTGTAGTTGTAGGTGTTTGCAAGCAATTGTCCAAGTAGTATCTACAAATCTGATCATGTATTAACATACCTGACCAGGTCTGGGTAAATTACAGGAATTTTCTGTCGGTTATAGTGCTTCAGGGGTTCAGAAGACTGTGGGTGACTGTATCCACGATACCTTATGTCATTAAATTACTGCCAGCTACATTTCCATGTTCCAACATTTCTTACTTTAAGTACATTTCACTGAGCAGTTTTAACATGTTTTAAAGGCAAACAATTCTAGTAAAACCAACGAAGCAGCTCATTGTATCTTGTCGCTCCTAGGGAAAATCAGCAACAATTTGATAGGCTTTTAGTGTTCAGGACATTGTATTTTTAGGTTTATTTTAACTGTTTTGTGTGTGGACAATGAGTGGTTTTCATGGCAGGTGTTCCATTGTAGTTCTATGGATATCTGTTTCTATTCTGTTTGTGACTGCTTCGGGACTGCAGGGGTTCCCTCTCTCAGATGGTTTTTGGCGCTTTCAGCACATCAAAAAGGTGTGCTTTTTCTTTTATTATGTAACACTTTGGTATTTCATGAAAATTACTTTGACTCTACATTTACAAATTGAGCAGAAGTTACCTGTTAAAAGTCGATGTCCATCCTTTATGCAATGCCATTGTGACTTGGCACAAGTACTGTACAGGTTATATTTAGCCAGTTTCCATTACTTCTGAAGTAAAGCAATAAAGGTGCTACAGAAGAATGTCACAACATATTTAATTTCTTTCATTTTTCAGACAGTGTGAGATATAAAACAGGGTGCAGAGGAAATGACACATCGATTTTACTGTTAGAATACATTCGAGTAATAATTTACTGTAAATCAGTTATAGTTTTTTCATGACCAAGAGGAAATTACAAGCACTAAACTGAAAACATATAGGCCACCTTCACAAGTGAAAGTTGTTGCTGTTACAATAGTAAATTATTTGCTGCCACAGACTAAATTTATTAAAGATATTCTACTTTATATTTAGTTTTTTTCATACGTTATTAATTTTAGAGCTTTTCTTTCTACAAAAATACATTTATACATTTGTTCCTTTAAAAAAAGGAGTTTCTTTAATCTCTGAAATGAACCTGCATTCATTTTTTGTAAAGCAATAAAAATAACATTTAATCATTTTGAGACCAATTAGATAAGATCACTTTATTGGCCATATACAATTTATTGTCTTAGGAATTCATCTTTGCGCATACCCCAACTTGCTCTCCATGAGACACACAGACAGGGAGAGAAGCATGGAGCATAGCGCCATTTATACAGCGCCCCTGGAGCTGCTGGGGTACAGGGCCTTGCTCAGGGGCCCAACGGAGTAGGACTCCTCTGCCGGCCGCAGGATGCGAACAGCAACCTTCCAGCCACAGGCGCAGATCCTTAGCCACAGAGCCACCCCACTGCCCCAAGTCAAGTTATGTTATATTACATAGAATATTTTCATCCTTTAAATATGTATTATAAATATTTCGGTTGGATCTGAAGGTGGAAGCGGTTTTGTTTCAAGATTTATGCAGATAGTATCAAACCAGGGATTTACTTGGGCCAGAAGAACATATCCCCAACACACATTTTATCTATTCCATAATATGCATAAGGAAATGGGTGGTGGGGGTATGTTTTTCTAATTTACAGCATTATTATATTATTCTTCTACCTTAAAACTTAAACCTTAATACTGTATTAATACTTAATATTGTATACAGTAGGCCATTTCAAGCTGGCAGGTGAAGACAGATCCTACTGCATCCTTGACCACTGCAGCAAAGCATTGTGGGTGCAAAACAGCCTAATAATATCATGCAGGGGGTAATTCACGTTATGTTTTCCAGAATTTACATGTATTAGATTTGAATTTACATCAGATTTGAATCATCTTAATAATGTTGCTATACAACATGGTATTGGTTTTGTTGTTATTGATAGTCAGGTAAGATGAAAGGCAAAATGGTAAATACAAAAATGCTAAAGCTTACAAAGATGTGGTGTAGATTAAATCAGTACAGAAGAGAGGATTTCAAGCAGATTAGCACCCTTAACATTCTGAAAAGGTTTTCTGCTGAATCACAGACAATGGTTACCGAGTCTTTTTGATCTTTTAGTAAACCAAAGTGTGTCATTAATCAAGAAATACTAAGGCTTTCGTTAAGGTTTTCAAAGTAATCATTTGCTAGAAAATGAATATTAACATAAAAGTAAAATATGCTTTTACCATTTCCTGAGGGAAGTCCTTTGCGTTTCGCAGAAGAGTAGTTTGTAAAAACATTTTTTTTCAGATCTTGTAGTTAATAAAAAGCACGTACATAAAGATAATTTAACAGAAAAAAAGAAATCACGGAAGAGGGCTTGAAATATGTTCCTGGAAAATTCGATTAAATGACTATTCAAATACAATGCTTTTGAAATTCATTTCCTGTTGCCTTGGCTTATCTTGGTTTTATTCCATTTATTCCATGCCCTGTAGTGTTTTCTGGTAATTTATTTAGCATTTCTTTCTAGTAATTTTGAGTTTAAAATTGAGAGATTCTGTGATATACAATGCACTCTGATTATGCTGGATACCTCATTCTGTCTTATGATGAGTGTGAGGGGAAGTGACAATCTGTAATTGAAGCCTGGATGTAAAGTTAGGTAATACTGTGCTATTCTCTTCAAGTAGCTCACCTGTGGAGCTACTGTGATCGGCATAGGATTTCTGAAATAGTGTTTAACACATCGCTTTGCAAGGTCTCCCAACACAGATTCGAAAATGCAAAACGGAGTGATATTATTGGTCAGAATTTAGTAAAAAAAAATGCTTCTGTAGGGAAAAGCTTTCAGGTAGTAGCTTTCAGGAAGGTTACAGTTGTACTCTGCATGGTTTATGTAAGAGCATACATATGAGACATTCGTTTCCAGGGAGAAATGGATAGTTATGGGTAGATTATTTGCTTGGTATCATGATCTGAATATGACAAAATCAAAGAAATACCAGCAATGAACCTATTTCAAGTAAATTTGCCAATATTTGAAAGACCAAAACCCTACTTTCATAGTCAAATACTATATAGTTTTCTACAGTCAGGCATTATACAGGTATGTCTCAGTGATTCATATCCACATTGGCACGTTATCTGTATAAGACAGGATTAATTATTTTCGTATTTAAATTGAGGATTCTGTTTGCTCTCTATATTAGCATTTTGGTTTTAATAGCTGGTAAGTACTGGTTATATTATGTGAATTTATGTCATTTATACCTCCTGTCAAGTGTTTGACAATTGCAGAACCACCTCTCTAATAAAGAAGATCACATTGTACTCACTGATGACTCTTTGCAAATTATTAGGGCTGACTTTTGTCTGAATTGAAAAATAACTGAGGATGGCTGTTTTACACACATAGAAAATGTTATTGATGTGGTATAACCTTTCATGAAAACTCAGGTATTCGAATTGTCTTTTTAGTTCCTTTTTACTTTTTTTTCCTGTGTGGAAAAAAATGATTACTTTTACATTTTAATATAGATTTCCATATCGAGAGGCCTTAAATCAAATCAGAGTTATAGCTTCAGACTGAAATCCATTAATATTAATGGAGGTTTTTAAATAGGTTTGAATGGATATTTTTTGTTAATTATTATAATATTGTTTGAAACAATTCTAATACCTTTAATTGTCTTGGAGAAAAGACAGAAGCACATGAGATTGAAGGAAAGTTGTTGTTATTAAACGTATTGCTTGAATCAAATCAGGTTAAATCTAAACTGTGAAAAAGAAGATGTGTCACATCTCCGATACACTCACATAATCAAGTTCCGTTCCCGAACTGTTTGTGCTCACAGGTTAAACAACAGTAATAAACTTGAATAAATGCTAATGTAAATACAGCACAACTTAATTACACAGTTAATTAGGTTGGTTTAATCATATTCTGTGAAGCTATTAAAAGGAGTTGTGGCAACTGCGATATTAAGCAAGAAAATATACAAAAATTACCCTGCAATAGATGAATATCTTAACATATACATACTGTTTAAAATTAAAGTATAGTAAATTCCATATATACTGATTATACTGATATGTATATTCCTAATAATACTGAGAGTCAACAAATGAGTTTTGGAGACAACAGTATTTCTTGCGTTTTTAATTCCTCTCGTTGTACAGTATGTCTGTATAAGTTCCTCTTAGCTTTAAACGGTGATGAAAAGGCTTTGGTAGTATGAGTGAATGTGTTGGTACCGTAAGAGCTGTGCAACTGTATCTGCTTTGTCCTACAGATATAGTGTCCTGTGAGGATGGATACTCCCGTAACATTGTTTCCTGCTGAATATCCTCATGTAGAGTGTGTTTTGTGGTTTTGAAAAACTGAGAACGTCCCCTGGATACTTTTCCCACCCAGTCCCAACAACAGCTGTCGAAGTACTGTAAGCGCTGCCGGGGGAGATAACCCAGCTACAGTTGGCAAATGGCAAATGGCACTGATTCCAGAAATGCCTGACTCCAGGAAGCAGACCTCATTCTGTACCCAGGACATGGACACTGTGCATGGTGACCTTACTGAAGCCTCTGACTGGACAGAACTCTACGTTTGTAAACATCCTTTCATTTTTAAGCCTGTTCAACATAAAATGCATCTTTTTAGTCTCCGAGTTCTGCCAGCAGTGATATGGCCCTGGTTTCACTCCAGTTCCATTATTTCCCAGTAGCTAAGCGAGGCTACGTTCTCATACGACCAATCAGATATCAGTAAACATGTTGGTTCACAACAAAATGACGACCTTAATTGACCTTCAGTTCTTGTCATTAAAATTCCAAGAAATCATCTAATGTGTTCTTTACAATATAGAAATTAAAACCCTCATTGTACTCATTGTCAGCCTGCTGAAGAAGATCAGAGAGCCAACAGGGGGCTGCTCTAGGAAAGATTTTAGATCATGAACAAGGTGCGAACAGGCTTAGAAAGCCATTGGTGAATGAAAAGAACAAGAACAATAATAATAATTGTTTGCATAAGATTGCATAATCACATACTGTATTCAAAAGTGTTTAAGGTGCAAATTTTTGGCTGCTAGATTAACAGAATAGTCTATAGTATAAATAATCTGTAGTCCATATCTTTGATTTTGTAGGTGAAAATGGTCCTGAGTAAACTTCATGAAAATAAGAAGATTGGAAATGCCACCCACAATATTTATGCTTACAGGTATGTAACCACGAGGGAAAGAAACTATGTACATTTAATGCGAATAAAAGGGTGGTTTAGGCATATTTTTGCAATGTCTGTGCCTTGAGATGAAATGCACTTTGGGATTCAGTGCTTAGCATTAGAAACAGGTGTTTCGCCCGTAACTGTAATGCTAGAACATTTGTAATATGCTTCTGGCCAAAGTGCAAATGTAAATATTGCATTTTTGTAAACAGTGCCAGAAGGCATGTATGTTTTATTCTAAGCATTATGCAAAACTGACTTATAATGAACAGATATTTTGTCTAGTTTATCCCCTTAAATCCTCATTCCTATTATAATTTTTGCTTGTTCTTGTTCTTGACTGTCTTGTTTGGCGGCAATTTTCACATTTTTGCAATTACGGCAAATTTCAACTGAGCCCGAGTGGAAAAGCACCTCAGGGTATCAAGAAGATAGTAAGATACAGCAACTCATTTTTATAAAATTTTCAGCTGTAAAGCCTTCTTCAGGTGCCTTCTTCTTGACACCCGAAGAAGGCTCCACAGCCGAAACGTTGTGGTTCCTTTCTTCTCTTTTTAGCATGGAATAAACTTCACATTTATGATTATTTTCTTTGCTAAGTATGTGAAAATGGGCAAGATCACCTCCATGACTTCATTACTGCCTATTAAAATATCAACTAAATAAGCTTGTTAAAATTCAAAAGAAAAAACATATATAATCATTGATGAATTATAAAAGTGTTCGAATTATTGGATTTAATAATTTGATTTTGAAATAACACCTTTCATGTCGAGAAATTTCTGAACACTTTACAATTAAAAGACCAAAAATACATGTCCAGTTGTATTACAAATTTGGTAATGGTAGTTTCAAAAACATTTTAATGGGGCTGTGAGTATTATGCATGCCACAGTTTTGGCACATAATTCTACAAAGATTTATTGCCCATTGTATGTTGTCTTCTGATGAAAACAGATAGCAAAACAGAATCCAAAGAGTAGTTATCAGGAAGGAGTATAATAACTCAATTTGTGGTGTAGGCAGCAAGGAGCTGGATTCTTTTATATTTTTATACAGGTACTGTATGTCAAGATAAGGACTCCATTACAATAATCCTATAATAAACTATTGGTAGGGTCTTATCTGAAGAACAGGAGTATAGGAACCAGTAATCTTATCTCGAGAATGGGAATATAGAAGCCAGTTACACTAAATCTGATGGGAATTAGAAAGGTTTTAAACAAGAAATGTTGTGCAAGTGAAAAAAAGCCTTGTCATGTTTCTGATGGGTTGTAAATCTTAGCACTGGGTTTGAGAGGTACACCAAGGTTTTTCATTTGAGTTGCCGAGCTTGTCTCGCTTTGTGAACGTGTCATGCAGTGTGTAGAGAGGCATGATCATATCTTGTCACTGTTGTGCTGTAAAAACCTTGTTGTTGACATCATGGCAGCAGATGAGCTGGCCAAGTGATAACATTTAGAGGCTGAATAGAAGAGGACCCAGAACTGAGCCTTGTGGGACACCAGAAGTTCTTACTTACTTCTTACTCTTACAATGTCTGTAACCCTTTGGATTAGGGGTTGTAAATGCTATTTACTAATGTGTCATAAATTAGTATATTATCAAGCAGGGACCTATGTCAGAATGTAAGCTGCAAAGGAGTATAGAGTAGAAGTTCATTTTCGTGCTGAAAAGAAGAGAAATCAAAATGTTTCAGCTGGAGACAAATACAGGTGAGCTGAGAAAGAGGACAGACCAGGAACATGAGGCAAAGGAGTGGTGATTGATAACTTGGTGATGAGTAGAATACCACTAAAGTATTTATAGTGTCAAATGTAATAAACAGCTTTTCCTGTAGTTTAATTGGCATGCTAGTGACAAAACCCCAATGCTGGCCATAGACTGAACTATATCTCTGACCACACATTTATTTGCAGAGGATGGCTTGTTCCATCTATAATACTTCACAAATGTTTTAACAGCTGACTTAATATAATTAATAGTGTCTAAATTTGCAATCCATAAACTAACGTGTGGCTGAAGTCTAAAAATCTCTGCATCCTATTTGTCAGAAATTGTTTTTGATCAGAGAGATAGAAACTAAAACTGATTTAAAGTAACCCCAGAGTTACTTTACCCACTTAGGTCTCTGTTGTATTTAGGAGGATTGTATGATTGATAGTGTCAGAGGCAGCACTTTTGTCTGAAATTGTATGAAAGGTGATGGAGAGAGTTCATAGAGCTGCTTTTTAAAAATGAACATGCAGCTAAAATTTTTTATGATATGCTGTATGACTTTGGCCAAAAGTTAGCTTTCAGGATGTAGATTTTTAAAATCTTTAAGTTCTAATAGTTTGAGTGATGATGTGACAGTGCCAGAGCCCAGCGATTCATTATTACATATTATAACAAATCAGCAAAGAACTGAAAAGCTTGGACACAGAAAGAAGTAAGAATCGGATCATGACAATAAGGTGTGGAGAAGAGTTTCACGTACTGTGTCAGTGAAAGTGGATTGAGCTAACTTCTCAGATCAAGAGAAAGAAATCCCCAAAACTCCAATATAGAAATCAGCACACAGTTACTGTGGGTGAAGGGGAAGGTGTAATAGATGTTTGGAGGAATGGAGAGGAATACGTCATGACAATATCTGGGACAATATACATTTGGCTTGCAGAAATCCTGCACATCAAATAACCCATTTCGATTGTCCTTTGTGGTGTTTACTGCTGCTGCTACCTCACAGCTGTTGGGACATTTTTATTTGATTCTGGATTGAGACTCATTCTGTACGCTGTCCTTGCGTACTGATGTGAGTGTCCTGTAAAGGAATGGTGTATAGTCTAGGGCACAGTCCTGCCATGGACCATGTGCTTCTTGGATACGCTCCTGGCAGCCTTGACACGAATAAGAGGCTTTTGTATACTGGATGGATGTTAATGATTGAGAAAAGGTGTGCGGGATGACTCAATAAAAGTAAAGAATGAAATTATATTGTAGATGGCTGTCCTTCTGTGTAATCTCACTAGAACACACTGTCCCTCCCCCTGTGTTCTAACTTGCAACCCACAGATTTCACAAAGTGCAAATGCTCAGAAGAAGATGAGAAGAAGAAACAGACTGAGATTTCTCGGGGGGCTATCACATATATTTGACGGAGACCTGCTGTATAACTCAACCAAATCTTCCATGGATTTGGCCTGGGCATCAAACAAGTGTGAGTCAAAGTCAGAGACTGCATCAGTGAACCTGGCAGGAGTCAGCGATTTCAAACTGTGAAATGTAATACAACACTTCTACATCCGTACTAGAGGGAGGCAGTGGGTATTGTAGCTCTTGTAAAACAGCCAGATGGTCTAAAATATCTAAATCAAGTTCTTATGCTTTTGCTTTAGGTTTTCAAAAAATGGTGGTTTCATAGCAAGTGGCAGTTCATTAGCAGAAACAACATTACAAGGGATGCTTTCACTTTCAGATAGGAGGGGAAAGAACAAAACATATGGTTCAGTATTGCAGACCTACACCTTGCATTGCCAGTCGTTTTACCTTTCATCATATTTTAAACATCATATCTGGTTCTTACACTCATCTGAAGAGACTGGGGGGAAGTCTTACAGGCTGTTTACATATGATTAACTCCTGATTCTTTTTTTCTCTCTGGGGTACTTTCTTTATCATAGCTGAACAATAATAAAGTATCTCTTCCATCCCAGTAATGCCAGAATTTAAAAAGAATGAAATAAGTAAAACATCAATGATCAGTCATGTCTAACAGAGCAGCCAGAAGGCTGTGTGGGAATTTACTATTTTGGAAACTCCTCAGCCTGTTTTGGAAGTGAATGTAGCAAATGAATCTCAGGTTATTGTGGATAACTGACAGGTGGCTGTCATTATTTGGTGATCTATAATATTGTATGAGCTAGCAGTTCACTATTGGTCTATAACAAATTGTCGCAAAGGACTTTACACAGGGAGGGCTGTATTAGCTGAGACTGGTGACATTTAACTATTAAAGTATTCAGAAATCATAGTTGAAAAGAAACATATGGAAGCAATGTGTTGACAAGGATTTCATTCTAATAGCTAATATATTGACTTACTGTATATGCATTTGGGTCTTTATGTTCTTTGTTCTCTTTGCTAAACCCTTCACAGCTGTGACTGTCCAACACCTACTCCATCCCCCCACAATCATGGCCGCCAACATCTAAAACCCCCAACTGCTACTCACCCCCCCATCCCCCACAGCCGCCACTCTCCAACACCTCCACCATTAACACCTGCAGCACTGACAGCTCTATGAGCACCATCCCCCAGGCCAGGCTGACCATCACGGCTGACCAGCTGAAAAGGGAGCTGAAGATGCTGCACCAGGGTAAGCTTGTGCTGATCAGCTGAGCAGAGTGCTCCAGCGACTGTTCAACCTGAGCCTGTGCTTAGAGAGAGTCCCTGTGCTCTGGAAGACATCATGTCTGGTCCCAGTACAAAAGAAAAGACACCCCTCTATCCTCAATGACTACAGACCAGTTGCGCTGACTACTCACGTCATGAAGACCATGAAGGTGTCTTAGGATTGCTGCCTCCAGGATACTTAGCACATGAGGTTCTTGCACCCAAGTCCTTAAACTGGAGAACAGGTGTAAGGAGAATTGGTACCAGTTCTGCCATTGAGAAATATCTGAACCAGGAACGGCTTTTGTTTTGAAGACTGCAACAAAAAGAAACCTCCAGTCATCTTGGTCTACATGCTATTTGATCAAGAAATATGTAGAAGTTGCTGTTTCTCCACAATAAAAAACAGTGACAGGCTTTTTCAGTCCCCACCACCAAGATCTTTGGCTATCAGCTGTTTGTGATTAGGGCAGGATAGTCATGATGTGGCATGCAATTGGCAGATTTAACTAGATCTAGAGATTAGAAATGGTAAACACAGTCTGTCTCATCAATCCTGAAGAGATAGCCATGTTCTGAGGAATTACCTTCCTATAGTAGAAAAAATGCTAGAATATAAAACTTTTAAAACTGGAATATCCAGACCCTCATGGACTGTTAGACAATCAGCAACAATAATGTCCCGCTGTAGTTGTGACCCAAGAAGTTCAAAACTAGGATCATTAACATCTGCTCCATGAGTGAAACATTTCCATCATCTTTGTTCATTATTAAACTGGTTATTCCCTGTCCTCACTACTCCTGCTGGATGCATCCAATTTGGGCCTTTTGCAGAAATTGATTTGGCTCGGCTGGTCTGCCTGCAGCTAAAAGGACACTGAGCTGGGACACTCTACACTGCTTGGATCCTGGTCTGTCTTGATATAATTTATATGGAACACAGGGGTTCAAATTCATGCAGCTGGTAGGTGGATGATGGAGTCAGTCAAGCCCTTGTTACTTGGGGTTTCTACTGCAGCTTTCAAACATTTTTTTCAGAAGTCCATGAGAGGAGACCTGGAGGGGGTACCAGTGTTGATAGGTCAGGAGATTGTAGTATTTTTGTATTCCTTTTTATTGTTATTTTTATCTCCTTTATTTATGTTTGAAAAAAATGTTCATCCATGCTGCAATCCTGTCTTCTGTTGTATGTATGAAAGAATTTAGACATTTCTTCTTCTCCGTAATTTCTCTAAGATCTTTTAAATAAACAGGTTTTCCTTAGCAACAGCTAATGGCAACCGGTGATTGCATTTGAGGCTGAACTCTAGCATTGTAAGTTGTGGCACAAAAGAGCATTGGAATTGCACAAACGAAGGCTGTCTTCTGTCAAGCTTAGTTATTTTCATTCTGTAGCTTTTCTACATCTGCTTAAGACATGACCTTTTATGTGAGATGCACATTTTTGCAATTGTTACACTGCAGCTTGTTATGTAATGACTGGATTGTATCATATTCTTTGAAGCTGTAGTGTCTGAGAAAAAATTGATCATTTAAATTGAAAACAAAGGCAGTTGCTGCATTTTTTGTCACGACAATACTGTATACAAGTTTTATTCTAAGAATATTCTCACACCTGTTCAAGATGTTTTGAAAAAGTAAAAGGTGGGAAGCTGGCGTCTTTCTTATGAGTGTCCAGTAACTGTCATTTAGAATTTACTCTGGCAGAGAGTAAAGAAATTAATTCTTAACCAGGTTCTTCGAGGCTAATTCTGGAAACTAATTACTTTGGCAAACTGTAAAAGAAATATATAAAAAAAATATTTCTTTTATCTTTGCAGATATTCCTCTTTCAGTCATAGAGGAATATCTGCAAAGAGCAAAATTTGTTGGATTTCAAAACTTTGATACAAAGTTAACCATGAAGAGCTTGGTTTGGGGTACATATATCATATTTACGGACTGGAGTCATTTAAATAGACCACAAGACCTAGCCATCACGATAAATGTTTTTTAATACATTTTATAACAAAAAAGAAGAGTCAGAAAATTTAAGTAATTCCAATGTAATGTTAAATATAGCCATATCATTCTGCAAATCACAACTGGCAACCCACTGAAGCTGCAGGTGTGAGCCTGGTCAGTACCTGGATGGGAGGCTTCCTGCGAAAAACTAAGGTTGCTTACTGGAAGAGGTGTTAGTGGGACCAGTAGGGGGCGCTCACCCTGCGCCACCCTAATGCCCCAGTATAGTGACGGGGACACTATTCTTTATAAAGGTGCCAATCTTTGGATGAGACGTAAAACTGAGGTCCTGACTCTCTGTAGTCATTAAAAATTCCAAGGTGTTTCTCGAAAAGAGTATGGGTATTACTCCGGCATCCTGGCCAAATTTCCCCCTGGCCTTTAACAATCATGGCCACCAATTAATCCCCATCTCTGAACTGGCCTCATCACTCTGCTGTCCTCTCCATTGAGAGCTGGTGTGTAGTGAGTGTTCTGGCGCACTGTGGCTGCCGTCGCATCATCCAGGTGGGGCTGCACACTGTTGGTGGTGGAGGGGAGTCCCCATTACCTGTAAAGCACTTTGAGTGGTGTCCAGAAAAGCTCTATATAAGTGTAAAGAATTATTATTTCTCACAAAAGGACTAAATGAGAACTTTTTGTATCATTCAGCTATTAACCAAATAATCATGATACACAATGGTCATTTACTTGTAGCTTTTGTAAGACTCATGTTCCCCCTTTAAACAAAGGGAAATGATCTTATATAAAAAAGAGAACTTTTAATAGAGATTAAAAGAGAACAGCAGTATCTCCAAAGTAAGCCTTACCTCACCTACCCAGTTGATCACTTTGACCTGTTTTTATATGTAGAGGGCTTGAATAACTAACTGAGCGACCAACGTCTAGCTTCGAACATTGCAAAGAAGGTCTTAATCGTTTAGCACAGGTTATACATGCAACATTTTGATACAGAGCTTTACAAGTTTAAAATGAACAGCTTCAACACTGAGATTATATTCACAGATTATTTTTGATGGCTCAACATCAAACAGCAGGCAAGGAAACAGCAGTGTCTGATAGTTTGGTATTATGAATGTTTTGAGCCAGTGTTGGAAAACTAAGCAATTGCACTGTTTAGGAACTGCTTGTGATAGTATAGCCACCCACAGCTTTCATTCTGAGAACCCTGCTGCTGTTGAGTATGGGAAATTCAAATTAAAAATATTTCATGTTGCCTTTTTTTTACATATGATCATAAACAGTGTTATTTTATCTGTTGGAATTTTTCTGCTTACATTTTCCATAGAAAAAATATTATTACTTATTTCTGAAATGCATTCAGTCAGATGCCTCACAGTTATTTACAAAAACATTTCTGTTCTGCAGGACCTTTAATCCCATTATTGGAGCAAATTACTGCGAGTTCCAAGTTAAATACAGTTAAGTTTTTGTTATGGTACTGAGGATAATATCAGAACCTCAACATCTTCCAAAGGTTGCTAAAAGGCCAATTTGATGTCTTTTGGAATTATATGAATGTCTTATCTTAAAAATAATCAGTCAGTGTAACAGTGGATTTGATGTGAGAGGGGAAATTTGACATCCATTCCTCATGCTCGATTTACTCAAAGCAGTCCACTTCATTTTTATCTTTTATATTCCAGAATATACTGTGAAGACAAGCAGACTTTCATACAAGATTGTGAAGATGATGGCGAAACGGCAGCAGGAGGAAGACTGCTTCATCTGCTGCAGGTACAGACGAGGACTGTCGATCTTGAACAGCGCACGAGTACTGCAGCGTGCGTCAGGGTGCGCCGAGACTGGGAACAGGGGCGTACCGCGCTGAGACTTGAAGAAAGGAAACACCGTGCTTCAGCCGTGGAGCCTTCTTCGGGTGTTCTCGCCGAGTTTGGACGCTCATTCTCGCCTTATTTATTCCCCTTTCCCCACTGCTCCCCACCCCTTCTCACCTGCTCTGCCTCCTGTTCTCCTTCACCTTGTTAACCTGCTACCCCAGCCCTCTCCTGCACACCTGAAGAAGGCCCCCCAGCTGAAACGCTGCGTTTCTCTTCTTTGCCTTCCAGCGGGAATGCGCCTTAACCCACGATCGTTAACCACGTCCTTTCCTGCTGGTTCTTACGGTTGCCACTGCCACACTGTGTGGAGCCATGTTGTCCAAGATGATACCCTAACGTTTGTTAAGTAATGGCTGGATGAGATTCTTGTATCAGTTAGCTGCTTCAGCTACTAGCAGCCGAACGAGTCGGGTGGGTCAATTGGCCTCCTCTCATTTGTAACCTCTCTTTTGTTCACATTTGCACCTGCTTTCTTACATGATTTTCCTCGTAACTGTTACACTGGAACTGGGCCCTTGAGGTAAGGGTGTCTAGTAACCCCGAAAAAGTGTAAATTAAATGTGCTTCTGCACAGCTCTGCCTTACAGAATTACAGTATCTGTTCTTTAAACAGCAGTGAATGATGCTTTGACCTTCAGGTTTGAAACCAACAGGGAGTTATGTGCTGTGACACCTAAGTGTTTTCCATATACAAAAGGTGTAAATGGGTGTAAATAATAGACTCCTGGAAGATGGAAATTGAACTATGGGTCACAAACACCTTTCGGGCTGTACTCCATACAAGATGAGTTTCAGATTGTGTTTGAAAGTCTTGTTTGTGATTTTATATGAATAATTCAAACTCCCATATGGTGCACTTGGTGTTTGGTATTCAAGTCTTATGAGTATCTCTTCTGGCAGCTTTGACAGTGGTTGAGTAAATTTTTTGTTTAAGTAGTCTTGGAATATTTAAACACAGCAAGTCAATCAGTCTGCTAAATGTATTATACAAGCTTTATATTAGTCACTTCAGCTTGAAAATATGCTTTATGTAAAAATTGTTTACAGAGGTAAAATGTTGTTCCCTGCTATACATTTTACATTCTTCTGAATAACACATCCAGATTTTCAGAGTTTCTTGTGGCATGTTACGATTAACAGACAAGCCATGAATATTCATTTCAAAATGCCATTGTGGCATGTTTCCCCTTCCATGTGAGCTTGCTGTTCTGTGATGGGTCTGGCAGCTTCTGTTGACAGGAACCTGTGGGCACCTACATTGCACAGTCAGGAGAAAGGCAGGGAATACACCCCTCCTAAGGCGAGAAGGGTATAAGATTGCAAGTGGTTCGAATTTCCCCATTTGTAGATGATCTTTTGGATAGTGGAGTGATTGACTACAAATTGCTTGGAAATGGCTTTAAAACCCTTCCCATACTCATAGGCATCAACAATCTATGAGGGCCTCGAAGACCTCTTTTGATCTTGGCATGATGTAGCCAAACACCTCAATTACTAAGATGAGACAACAGGTTTCTGATGTTTATATAAGGCAGTGCCCTCCATGTTACTCTCTAATGATGTTCTAATCATTTGCACCTGTTTTGGTGCACCTGATTCTAATTTTAGGCATTTGATGCAGTGATAAAAGTAGGGGTGTTCTCACTTTTTCCACACAAGGAAATTGCATTTCTATTGATTTAAATAGTAAAGATGAGTGCAAAATATTTTCCAATGTTATTTTTTTAAATAAGATCACCTTTATCTATCAGTATTGTTGAAATGACGATCGAATATCCTTTTGTCCAAAAATGTAAAAAAAAGACTAACCTTTTCACATGGCATACTTCTTTTACACACCGCTGTATGTATTCTTCATATCAATGGTTATGTTTTTTTTGCCAATAATCATAACTAATATCATATAGTAAAAACAAAAGTTGGGAAGATTATGATGGCTAGACAGCATTTTGTGGTTGTGTTTTATTTAAAATGTTTGCACTCTGCTGGCATGTTGGTCTTGATTCTCTATGGCATTGCTTCTGTTCTGACCCAGTAGGTGGCCGCTTGCCCTGGACTTCAGGCAGGATAGTAGGTCACTGCTTCAGACCATCTGATTACTGACCTTTAGAGCAATTGCTTACCAGTAGGCCCAGCTATTGCAGCTATGATGGCATCATTAATTGAAAGTGTCTGTACCTCAAACCCACATCGGTCCTGCTAAAGTCAGGTCTAGCCAGTCCGCTGTGGTTATCAGAGCATTCAGCAGAGCCCTGTGTGCCCTGGTCCTTCTGTTTTTCTTTTTCCAGGTCTTTCAGGGTCTTCAGAGTGTTCATTATATGCTGTGCTATAATGAATTTGGCAGCATTTTAAATTGCGATGGTCCCACATTTAGCAAAAAAAATATATTTATTGTCAGTGGTGAATCCATCAGTCTCTTTTCAAATTGAAAAGAGTATTCGGTTTCCTTATAGTACTGTGTTTGAGCCAAAATAATCAACATTTTTTTTCTATACAATTTTAACCTGGCCAGATGTCTCTTAGACTTTTTATGATTATATAATGAGATTTAAACAGAAGCAAAAATAAAAACTGTTCCTATGACATTTTGACCATAAGAAGATTTCTTGACACCAGAGTCACCCGGTCAGGTGAAGCTGATAACCTGGCTTCTTTTAATAAACTCCTGGAAGAGATCCTTGGATTAGTTAGCTACTAACTACCATAAAGAAGGACCTGATTATGGCTGCTGTTGATTGGGAGTAATAGGAAGAGAACTAAGGCAGTGACCATCCACATGTATTAATGGGGTTTTTCTTGCACCCCATAAATGCTCTTTTTTTACAGAGTCCTATGTAGACCACTTCCCTTTTTGAGGTCGTACATAGAACAGCTGTCTCTTTCCCTAGAAGTCATGAGTAGTTAGTAGTTAACAAAAAGACCAGGTATTAGGTTAAAAAGTTATAAGGGTATAATGGTGGAACTTACAGGAAAGTGACCATCCCTGTTTCTCCATTAATCTTGTTTCCTTAATTACAAATGGTAGTATACCCTCATGCTATCTTAAGTGCTTCCAGTACCTGTAACCATTCTTCCTCCTATGCTAATATAATAGAAAACAAGAGTTTAGTCATTCCTCACTTTTAGACATGTTACCGATTTCTTCCTTGGTAAAATCCTGAGTAAAATATTAATTTAACACATCATCCATTTTCCTTTAATCATCTAAAAGTGTCCCATTTTAATACTTGTAACACTTCATTCTTTACTATTCTTTTGATCTTGTAATACAGAAAAAAATATTTTAGGCTACATGACAATATTCCATCTGCCTCTCTTAGCTTTCTAATACCCTTTTATCTCTTGCTTGCCTTTCATTGTATTACTTTCCTTTAAAATACTGTTCTTTTTCTCATTTTATAAAGTGCTTTCTTTCTCCTTATATTATTTTTGATTTGTTCTACCATTTGGATCTGTACTTTAAGCAGAATGTCTTTAATCTACTGATCTGGTATGTATTCTGTCCGATTCTGCTTCTTGTAAGCTCTCTCTTTCCTTTAAAGCCTACTTTCTGAAATTGTAACTGGATCCAGACTGTACAGCTTCATAGTATATTTTAAAGCTGATCATGTTATCACAGCTCTCTAATACTTCTGCCACCTCATTTTTCAATACTCTGTTTGATTGTTTGAGAAGACTAGACCAACGGGGATATTCCTACTAGTAGGTGCTCTGATAAACAGAGTAAGAAAGTAGTAATTAGACATGGGTATCATTTCAGTTTTTGGTGTTGACATTCCTATGGGTAGGAATGATATCAGTGATAACCATCTCTTCCTTTACACGTTACTAATTCATAGTATTTCATCAAATAGATTTGATAATCCAAGCTCGAGTTTAGTTGGCAAATTGTGTCTGAGATGCTTGATTCATCTATTTCTGGTATGTTTTCTGGTTTTTGTTCCAGCCAAGGTTTTCATCACAGGCTGATATTAGTTTTCTATTTATAACATTTTTAGTTTTTTTCAGCCATTAACAGATTGAATGGGATTGGGAATTGATATCATCCTGGCATCAGCTTTTGAGTTTCAGAGCTGTCTTCACTCAGGTGTGTTGGTGGGAAATGTCACCAGCTGAAAGGGAAAAGGGCTCATTTTTGCAGGATAATTCACTGTCATTTCCATCTGTGTCTGCTCATCATAAATTGATAACCTATTAAGAGCTGTTTAGTTACAAATTGGGGTAAGCAACCTGAGGAGATGCAGATTAAAGTTCTGTACAATGAAGCTGTTGAAGAGAGTCGCCATGAAGTAGGGTAGAAACTTTGGGATAAGAAAAATGTAAACCCCAAATCTGATTGATCTTTTTGTTTGTTTAATGTCACCAGTTAGCACTGGAGATTTACAGGTCACCGAAAACAGAAGTGATAGTGGTCCCCAAGATCAGCTGCAGGGCTGGGAACTGCGAGTCCAATGTTCTGTGCCTTGATGCTCTTTTTAATGTATAGAGCCACACCTCTGTCTCTTCTATATTCTCTTTGAAATGCTGACTATCCAGTAATTATTCTATTATTTACCATCACTCTCTGTTAGTCATGTTTCTAGATTCTGATGCTTTGTAGCTGTCTCCCTGTTCAACAGTTCCATTTTTTCTATTTCTATTCTAAGGCTAATTTAATGATTAAATATATTGCCCTTACAGTAAGTCTTCGTTAAAAATGTATACAATTGCTTGGCCCCCTGGATGGTTGGCTATTGTGTCTGCTTTACATGACAAGATAATAATTGCTTACACTTATATAGCGCTTTTCTGGAGATTCCACTCAAAGCGCTTTACAGGTAATGGGGACTCCCCTCCACCACCACCAATGTGCAGCATCCACCTGGATACTGATAAGTGACAGCTGAACAAATGCTA